AGAGAGAGAGAGAGAGAGAGAGAGAGAGAGATGTCCACAAATTGGCCTGGAGAACAGATGAGCCCAGTAAAAATAATGGACTCCCGAACGCCTCTTCCCTTGTATACCAAGTGGAGGGAACCATAGAACTGGGTCATAGAGTATATTATTATTGACCGATGTATGAGAAGAGAGAGATAGGGAAAAGACAAACAAGGAAAGGAGGGGGAGGAAAGACAAAGGAAGTGGCAACGCGAGAAGACAGAAGGATAAAAGGAAAGAATGATCACACGAGAGTCATTATAATTTGGTTGTTTTATTCCTGGGGGCAAAACAAAGTAGACAGTGGAATGTGTCGTTCCAGATTTGGAGAAGGACAGAGAAACGTACTCTTTTTTTATCTATCTATCTATCTATCTATCTATCTATCTATCTATCTATCTATCTATCTATCGATCTATCGATCTATCGATCTATCTATCTATCTATCTATCTATCTATCTATCTTTAAGTACATAATATGTACACACACCCACAGATACACATCTATTATCTTTTTGTTGTGGCTGAATTTTGCTATTCAAAAGGCTTTTTAATGACTGCATCGATCGACATGCAGTTTTCGCCAAAAGATTCTTTAAAATATTCTCCAGACCATGACGCCCTTCATTTGTTCAGTTTTTAGACAGTTTTGCTGCCAAAAGCTAAATTTCTTTATTTCGCCGATCGCTTTTTGTAGGCCGACGCTTCTGTCTCTGTGATTTTAGAAAATCGGCCAGGTTTGTTTATTTCAAGTCGTACTTCCGTTCGATACTATCGCGCATTGTCGCGCAATACTGAGCACTACTTTAAGTGTGCGACCTGTATAGATCTAGCCTCATGTTTTCTTTTTTTACTTGGTGCTAAATTCGACTGTGATCCTTTCATTTGATGCCCATCATCGCTTTTTTTTGACTCCTTTGTCTATTATATTTGGAAACACGGAAACACATGTGTCACTTTTCTCTGAAGATTAATCGCTTCATTCTTGTAGAGTGTAGATCTATATATAGTAGGCCAATGACTTTCAGTTGATGTTATTGCACCAATCATCCCTTTCATCGAAAGGGGACCCAGCTAGTATAGTATGTTATGATTATGATACACATCGAGAGACAGAGAGAGAGAGAAGTACAGATAGAGAGAAGTAGGGCTAGATTGACTGAGAGAGAGAGAGAGAGAGAGAGAGAGAGAGAGAGAGAGAGAGAGAGAGAGAAAGAGAGAGAAAGAAAAAAAAAGAGAGAAAGCGAGAGGGAGAGAGAGAGAGAATATAAAAAAGTAACAAACAATACATAAGCAAACGCTGGATCTGAAGCGGAGAGGCTGGGACACAATAAATAACAAAGTTATTGCCCATCAAATATACCAATGTCGAGACACCCATAACTGGTGGTTCAGAGGTTGGACAAAGTGTGATGACGCACGAAGAGAGTCCTAACAAGGTCGGGAGGAAAGAGTGCAGCGCAAGCCTGAATGGCCGCCCCCTCGATCTTTTGACCATACGACAGTCATTTCTTTTGCCTGCCTGCTTCCTGCCTCGCCCCATTGCCCTATATTTCTCCGGTTCCTTGTCGCGGGAGATAAATTCGCAACTTCAGATTCGGGAATCAAGTTAAGGACTGCTCTCAGAAGAACAGGAGATGTCGATTGCTGAGCAATGGTGTGACTGATTGGTTGGGACAAGGAGGGAAAGTGCGCGCATCCCTGGACTGCGGAGATGACAGAAGAGATTCTGCGGGGGCACTGGAGTGTAGTTAGAGACTATGTCCGCTATTGTGGCTCATGCCCTCCCTTATCGTCTTCTACTTTCTCTATCTATGAATTCAGTCACTGGTACAAATGGTTACTGCACACCAGGTTTTTTTTTTCTCCTTTTATTTTTCTCCCGTTTCTTCTTTCACGTTTTGCCTATTTAATTTTTTGTTTTTGCCAGCTTTTTGAATTTTCCGTTTAAGTCGCCCCGTGTCATGCATTCAATGCAGTAGAGTTGAGTGTCTTTAAAAATTCCGCTAACAACTTGAATTTACGAATACTCAAATTTGAGTCTTTACAAAAAAACCAAAACAAAAACAAAACAGCAAAAAATACTTGTATGTAGATCCAGGTATATTTGCCATTGTATCTCAGTTTCCCCAGGGGGGTCAACAAGATGTAATTTATTAATTTAAAAAAAAATGCTGACCGTCTTTGTTCACACTGGGTCATTCCTCAAACTTAACTTAATTTTTGAGTTTTCACGACACTCTTTACGGTATTCACTCTGTCATTTCGGAGGGATGTTGAATTGTACGTCGCTTCTCAAAAATACTTTATTAAGTGCAAAGTGGATTTGATTGTACTGGTACAAAACTTCTTCAATAATCGAGGTTAAGGATTGTCAGGTTGGGTGTTCGAACCAGTTTCACTGACAAGATGTTCGAGCAAAATACACACTCAGCTAAGTGCACATCTGAAGGGCATTGGACTTCAGCAAAATACGGGACATTAGAAACAATAATTTCACATTCTGAAGTAATTTGAAACAGGATTTCTAAGTGGAAGCAGGATTCTCCAACCTTTTAGCAGGAAAAGAGAGATACTGGATAGACTTTCTCACCCTCGAGGGAATCGATCTCGCGTCTTTTGCGTTCTAGGCGAAGGGTCAATAACTAGTGTAGCCTAATGAGACATACTCTGAGATCTGTACAACGTCAACGGAAAAATTTGCCACATTTTTGGGGATTTTTTAAAAAGCTACCTGGTTCAGTCAGCCCGAATTAAACTGTTTTTTCTCTTTTAATTCGGGCTGACTGAACCAGGTCGTAAAAAAAAAAACTACCAAAAAATGCGGCAAATTTCTCCGTTTTTGGGGGGAAGAATGGAACACGACATAGGAGGTTGAAAGTTCCTGAATTACAGAACTTCCTGCCAAAAAAGGGTTTATTTTAACTTTTTGTAGAAATATTGCAAGATCTGTGGATGACTTTTTGTACTTGAAGAAAAGCTGTTGGTTCTACCAAAAGGAGGGTTAGATTGTTTGACCTAGGTCTGTGTCTATTTTTATGAGGTTTCTGAGGACCAAATAGTCCCGTGACCACATCGTCCACAGGTCAGGATAAGACTTTAGAGGAAAAAAAGCATGTTACCAAGAAAGTATTGAGGACTTCTGCTTTCTCTCCATGTAAAACTGTTTTAAATGTGTCACAAATGCATTGCTATAGCTGTTTGTTATAAAAATAGTATTGTTCGATACATTTCAACAAGCTAAACAATATATGGAAATAGAATAAGATAAGATACGATAGGGTAAGGTAAGATAAGATAAGATAAGATAAGATAACTTGAAATTTTATTGTCCCTGTGAGACACTTTCTGCGGCTGTACAGGAATGGTAAAATCACGATTTGTAGATATAGATAGCATTTGAACTGTATATTATTTAAATATTTAAAAATTCAATATGAAGCGAAAAATACGCTGACAACACGTCACATAAGAATCATGCCTCAAACCACATGCATAAATTAATCAAAGATTCTGGAAGCTATATAATAAATATATTCGCATAATATAATAATAATAATATGTTCATAGCAAAGAGGTTATAATATGTGAGGTGTGCTGACAAAATGAGTTACTTGTCGGATTTTAGCCGTATGGAAATTGATACATAAACTTTATGAGCGGTGTTTGTACAACTTGTAAGTCCGAAATAATAAAAGACACGGTAGACTTGAACAAAATAGGATCAATTGAAATTGTATAAATCTGACTCTAGTGTTGATTTTCGGCCTATATCTCCATTCTTGGAGTGCAAGAAGTAACTCATTTTGTCAGCACGCCTCACATATAATGCTGGGCTCGCGGCAGTGACGTCACACGTGTTAGACATTTCGGCCAGCTATCCTCTTAGGCATGCCCCCCCCCACCCCATTCACATGAACATTCTGAGTCCCCACCCTGTTCCCCACGAGCTCTAGTATATTAAACACCTCCCTGCCCCCATATTCTTTCAGTTCAAGCTAGTAGATTTCTTCCATAGACCGCCGAGACGCCTCCACGTGAGTCTCGGAAAGTACTCACTCGTCTGTTGAACTGCACATGTCTTGCAGCTGAGGTACAGCGTCCCAGGGTGGGCACACACAGCCGCGTTCGTTTGCGTGGGGGACATCAATGCCACAACCTCTAGTACTAAATATAACTTCTTTGGTTCCCAAAAATCAGTAGAGATGTGAATAGAGAGCTCATGTAGACATCTACCCTTCGTTCACCTACCTTGACATTGCTGGAGCGGAAGAAGAGAGACTTGGCCTTGGGTAACACAACCTTCCGCAAAATGTTATCGTCCAAATACTCTTTGATCACACCGATGGCCCCAAGAGCCGCTTCCTGGAAAATATAGATTTTTTACGGTTTTTGAATATATTTAAACACTGTTGGTGTTTTATTTGGCCCCATTGAGACAATTGAGATAATTTAGGAGCCAGGCTTTATACCCTCCAGCACGGGCTGAGAAGGATACAACATCCTAGAAGAAAGATCGAGGTAATTCATAATTATTTCTCCCCACTCAAGAATCGAACTTGGGTCTTCTGCGTGCGACGAGGAAGCGCATAGCCCGCGCACCACAGACGCCGATGTTCTCGTATATTATGTTTCACAAGGGGAAACGATGTCAAAAGTCTAAAAACATAAGTGTACTGAACAAACTGAGTTGACAGCTAACACACATACATTCCCAAATTCATAAGTGGCATAAGTAAAAATAACTGTCTGTCTGTCAGTATGTCTGTGTGTCTGTGTGTCTGTGTGTCTGTGTGTCTGTCTGTCTGTCTGTCTGTGTGTCTGTCTGTCTGTCTGTCTGTCTGTCTGTCTGTCTGTCTATCTGTCTGTCTATCTGTCTGTCTGTGTGTGTGTGTATCTGCCTCTCTGTTTTTCTGTATGTCTCTTATCCTGTCTGTCATGCTCATCCATCTATCTATCTATCTATCTATCTATCTATCTATCTATCTATCTATCTATCTATCTATCTATCTATCTATCTATCTATTTGTCTATCTATCTATCTTTCTATCTATCTATCTATCTATCTACCCACCTGAGCCTGTAGGGAGGAAGAGTCCAGCGTGTTGAACACAAAGGGCAAAACTTCTCCTTTGATCTCGTCCAGTGGAGACTTGGACAAGACAATGTCAAGTTTGTTCAGTATATACACAGTGGCCTGCGGATAGGAGTGGATATGTTCATTGTGCATGGACAAGGCAATGTTAACTTTGTTCAGTATATACACAGATGCCTGCAGATATGAACAAGACAATGTTAAGTTTGTTCAGTAATATACACGGTGGCCTGCGGATAGGAGGGGATATACTTGTAGTGTAAATATTGTCTTTTTCTTTTTTTTTATGCAGAATATTATATAACAAAACAACGCAGAAAGCTACTATTAAATCAAATAACAGAAAAGAAAACACAAGTTGATACATAATATAATATGTGAGGCAGCGTGGTGGAATCAGGCTCTCGTTATTTTTTTGGGCATATTGAGTCATTGGTATCATCTTAAAGCTTGTTCATTTGTCTTGCTTTCAATGAAAAAATTACCCATCCATCTTCAATAGAAATAGAGATATTTTGGATTAAAGGAGGAGGGGGTCACCTGATTTAAGAGGTAAAATTAGCGAGAAAATGGCTGCAAAAGCTTGGTAAATTCCAAAGCTGAATAATCCATGGAAACTGTTGATTTATATTTTTGTGCCTTTAATCAACATTTTCGGTGAAATCCTCAAAGGAATGTGTTTGTAAATGGACATAAAAGGTGTTGAGCCGAAAAACAATAATTTGATAAAAATTGCTATGCAGAGAGAAAACTGCTGTTTTCTTCGATTTCATTATTTTGACGAGAGCCTGATTCCACCACGCTGCCTCACATATCATTCTTCTTGAAGAGAGATTAATTTTGAAACATATCGTTTTTGTTGCAGTTTCACAACCTGTGGTATTGGTTGCATGTGCTCGAGAAATATTTTCTCGAATTCAAGTTTTATGTGTTGATTAAAAAAAAGAAAGATAAGATACAACTTTATTCTCCAGATCCTGGCACAATGGTTTGGTGTTTCACCACATACACACATACATACAACCCCCCCCCCCCCCACACACACACATACACACACAAACATGCACACACACGCAGGCTTACAGACACATACATAAAATGAACAGTAATAAAATCAATAATAATGTAAAGCTAGATACATGCTCAGCAGAAAGAAAAGATACATAACGTAAGTGCAGTTGTTCAAAACATGAAACCTTTTTTTTCTCTCTCCTGAAAAGTTTTGTTTCTTAGAGACAGAACTTTTGAACAGGTTGTCGATGAATCTGTTTTTCTATGACATGCAGAAGCAGCACCCAACATTTTAAAAAAAATGACGTCACAAACTGAAACAGCCGCACACCTCCCTCTTTTCCCCGGAGCCGTGTTTTTGAGCTGGGCGTCACCTGTGTCTTGATCATGGCATGGACATATTATTATTATTTCACTGACCACCCATCAAAGAGCTTTTGACATCCACATCGGTTGATTATATTTTGGTCGCTTTTAAGGACAAGCGGGCTAACCCAGATTTCGTGGGTTTCCAGAAATCTTGACGTACACCTAAAATGGGTATTGTGCTACCTATATTACAAGAAGTTTGGTTTCGTTGGTGTGTATATTTGTTTGGTTATAGAGAAAACTCTTCTAGTCTTTTAAAGAAACTGAACAAGGGGCAAAAACTTTACCTTCGATTTTCTCAAAACAACATTTTTTCGGGATAGCCCCCTTGTAATTAAAAAACCCCTACAATTTAGGAAGCAGGACGTACTAGCTAGTCGACTGCCCACCAGCGTTGAGCGTTCATGACAACCACAGAGCAATGGTGTACTCTAAATATGTAACTGGTTTGTGGGCACATTTTCAACAGACGAAATAATAAGAAAGGAGGCATGCCGATTACTCCTTTTGGGTGCTTCTAAACGAACAACCCACTCTGGTTAATTAATATATGCCGATAAAAGAAACAAACGTTAGTCCACAGTACTTTTGTACTGTCAGAAATGTAGTTTTCTTCAGATTTTTTTAATGAAGACGCGCAGGTCGGTCTTCGGAAACGGTTTTATAACAAAATGAAAGAGTTGTCCTATTTCTTCTAGTGATACAATAACAGAAAAACACTATCATAATATCGACAACAAAACCACAACACCCCCACCCCCAACACAACCCCCCCCCCCCCAACAAAACCCCAACAGATAAACATGCCACCATAACCACCACCCCACCCCCCCAAAAAAATAAAAAAATAACAAAAACAAAACATCCCCCCCAAGAAAAACCCCTCAACAACCCAACAACAAACAAAGAAATCCCCCTATAACACTCCCCACCTTTTCCAAATAATAACAACAACAACAACAACAACAACAACAAAAAAAAACCCACCAGAAAACGCCCCAAAGACTACCAAAGTCTGCTATCACTACCTGTACTGGCTTGGTGTTGCCGAGAATAGCGCGGAACTCGGGCATGATGATCTCCATGTAGTCAGCGCGTGTGGCGTAGTCGATGATGGTGATGAGGGTGGGTAAGGCAAAGATGATGGCGTCCGGGCATTTGCACTCGCTCAGCAAGTCAGGGAGGACGTACAGGTACAGGATTTTCTGAGGGAGAAGGAGGAGGAGTTATGGTTTATAGTTTTAGTAGAGGTTTTACGGCGCTCGCAACTGCATAAAGTCATATGAGCGCCAGAAGCTTAGAGGCGTTATAAGAGAGTAACAACCATAAAAAAGAAGAAGGGGAGATAAGGACGATATATGTTTGATAGGAAAAGAGAAGCAAACCACTCCAGAGCACCCGTCAACCACCCACGAGGAGGAACGAGGTGGGAGGTTGGCGCGTGCTCCTGTGTGGTTTGTGCCTTCTTTCCTATCAAACAAAATATTATAGTATCGTTCTTATCTCTCCTCAGCCCTAGGCCGAAGGGCTAGAACCCAGATGGCCGCTGGATCGGAAAAGTAAAAGTATCTCTCCTCTTTCTTTTTTGTGTTTGTTACTCTCTTGTGGCACATCTAATCTTCGTACTTATATGACTTACTTGTGTTGCAAGTGCCGTAAAACAAACGCTTACTAAAGATAGAAAGATAGACAGACAGATAGACAGATAGATAGAAAGATAGATAGACAGAAAGATATATATATATATATATATATATATATATATATATATATATATATATATATATATATATATATATATATAGATAGATAGATAGATAGATAGATAGATAGATAGATAGATAGATAGATAGATAGAAAGATAGATAGATAGATAGATAGATAGATAGATAGATAGATAGATAGATAGATAGATAGATAGATAGATAGATAGATGATAGATAGATAGATAGATTAATAGAGAACGACAGGCTGATGTCTATTCGACTAAAATAAATTCTGATTTTTAACTTAACTTCCCATTCATCGAGAGACCGTCAGCGAAATATGAACTTTTGCTTAGATAGGAGAGAGGTACCATGGTCGTTATGTGATTCGAGTTTGAACTAACAAAAGCTTAAGTTGTTCACCTTACTAGTGCAAGTCTTTGCACATCACAAATAGATCTCGTATAATCTCCTACCCTCCCGGTCCAAAAAACCCCAAACAAAACCAGAATCAAATTCAAAATGTAACGATGAAAAAAAAAGAGATAATGATACGCGTTTTAGATGACCTCTCCATTATTAACATAGTCGTTCACTTTATGGTTGAGAAAACGTAAAAATTGAAGACTCACTCTTCCTAATTGAGAGCCATTTCTCATCATGTGATTATAATTACAAACCGATGATCCAGTCAATCAATAAACTAACTCACTCAGAGACGGCGTAAAAAGAAACAAACGAAGTCGACCTCAAGACCGATGTACTTGATTTTTTTCTACTACGAAAAAGCGAAGGAAGAACTTAAATCAGGTACATAAAAAAAAGATAAGAATTATTGCTTACAACCATTTCGTTCCCTGGTGAAACATACAGACTTCAGCAAAAGTTAAGGACCACTTTGACAGGCAGTCCTAATTTTTAAAAATATCCCAAAAAGAGGCAGCAAGGCATGTTAAAAATTTTTTGCTCTGAAAGTGTTAATGGGTTACCAACGCGTACTGCAAAGCCTCATAAAGGACCAAAACCTCCACGTGCAGCACGGAAATCCTTGGGGAGTTTTAGCCAAATTTGCTGTTTTTTATCCACTTGTGTGCGACACCAAGGACTTTCCTCAATTAAAATTTCTAGTGCAGGTCATAAACGGACGTACGGTCTCGAACTGCGCTCACTTTGGTGGCAATATAAGCCACCGTTTCCGCAAAATCCGGTATCGCATCTACAAAATACCAAGACGAAAGCTGAGAGACTTTGATCATGCCAGAGCTATGGCATGGCTGGAGGATGGAGTTGGAGCCCGAGAAGTTGCCAGAAGGCTCGCAGTGTCATAATCTGTCATTGTCCGCCTGAGGCAGCACCATCACGCCACTGGGTCAGTCCAAAAACGCCCACGTGCAGGTTGTCCCAAGAAGACCACTCAGAGTGTTTGCAAGTGGTCCCTAACTTTTGTTGAAGTCTGTATCACTAAATTAAATGTTAACAGCAAGCCGTGACCAAAAAAACCCCCAACAATGTATCATCAGGTTCATCGTGACAAACCCATAGATTTGTATAACAATACCTAAGTCGCACTGTGACGCAAGTTCGCTTCACAATGGTGTGCACCATGATCTGGCTCAAAATTACGTCAACGTAGAAAAGCTGCCACTATAGTGCGGTCATACATTCGTGGTGCAACTTATCCTCAAACATCTCTTTAACGGGGAAATCAATGTCATCTGTACTTTGCATAGCAGTTTGTATCGATTTGCCTTAACTAAATCTTATTTTTCCAGAACTATTGGGGTTAGATTAAAAAACCTTTCTACATAAATTTATAGAAAATCCTTGAAATCTCTGTCACACGTAAAATGGTATTGTTCACAGCACTTCCCGCTTCTTACACACATTTTGATTACGCATATGGCCTACGTCACAGCTCATCAATGATTTTTTTTTCTTGCAAAACTTGTTACAAGAAATTATTGTTATAGTGAACACATTTTTGCACTAATGGCTATAAAAAATGCGTTCAAAAGGCATAATGTCCCGATTAGAAAAACCTGACGGACTTGCTATTAAAAGCACTATTGCCCCAGCTGTAAACATTAAAAAATCTGTAGAAACCACCTACTTGGATATTTTTATTGGTATTTATTAAGGAATTTTCTAGAATACAGCTTGCAGGTGTTTACAAAATGTTGATCTGTTAAGACACATTGATACAAGTCACTGTGCAAAAATTGTAGACCCTATGTTCGATAGCTGAGGAGATATTTGAAAATAAGTCGCACCACGAATTTTTGATCGCACTATAGTAGTGAAATTAGTGCTTGCCTTGCATTGAGTCCCCATGACGAGCACGTTTCTCAATGAGGTTTTTGTAAAGTACAAAGAGCTGCGGTAAAGACAGTGTACCGTCTAGAATACACTAAAGCAAGTCTATGAACGAACTGCCTTATTTTAGTTTCATGATCCCTTGACAAATATTTTGGTTTATTATTATTTACACCTCCTTCTATAAAAACGTTTTTCATTCAAGTACTTCGGCTCTGTCTACCATCCAACTTGACATACAGGTAGAAAGAGATACTGGATAAAAAAGAAATCCCGACAAGGGAATTAAACTCAAGTAATTTGCGTTTCACAGTAAAGAACCTAACTATTTATCCTCGGACGCTGGTACTTGTTGACCTACCCGGACTATCCTTAGAATTATCTGAAAGACTGCAATTAGTACATAGTTGACTTCTCCCATATCTCCTCGATATCCGTTCCTATCTAATGAAAGAACGGTAGATTTATGACTTCGTCTTCTCAGGCCAGCAAAAGAGAAACCAATAATTATGTGATTAAGTTCTCAAGCTCTGATCAGCTTCATTTACCCTCTTCACCCAATGAAAAAAAAGTCACATACCCGGGATGTGATGTTATGTATCCGATACCAGATCGATCGAGAAGTTTCTATCGCAAATTGGTTCCTGTCATAGTTGCTGTTTGAGTGGCAACTATATAAGAGGCTGACTGTGGTTAATTCGTAAGGACCAGTTTATAGAAGACAAGTTTTTGAACCCGAATGATCTAATTTCGATTTTAAGATAATATTATTTTGGAGTTTCATAATTCATGATATCCTGTGTACATACACACACATAAACACACAAACATACACACACACATACACACACACACACACACACACGCGCACACACACACATACTTACGCACACACACACATGTACACAAACAGGAACAGACACAAACACATACAGAGAGAGGGACAGACTGACACAGGGACCCAGAGGAGGACAAGGAAAGATAGATCTGATATATATCTATATCTATATCTATCTATCTATCTATCTATCTATCTATCTATCTATCTATCTATCTATCTAT